GAGTGTCCAGAAAAGCGCTATATAAGTGTAAGCAATTATTATTATTATTATTATTATTATTATTATTATTATTATTATTACTACTACTACTACTACTACTACTACTACTACTACTACTACTACTACTACACTGGCCAAAAGATTAATGAAACATGGGATAAGCAGTAAGGATGTTTTGAATACCCATCACCCTCTAAACTATTTTGCCACCTACACTACCTATAACACAATTCTAGTAAATAGATTCTTCTGTATATTACAGTAGGTAAAGAACTGATATTGCAAAAGTCATTCTCGTCTGTATTTTATGCTGCAGTGCATTTTGACTTATCCAGAAACTGGTATTTCAGGCTATATAACCTTACAGCTTGTAACTAGAAAATGACTGGTGCTTTTTTAAGACATGCAAAAAAATGCATTGCTTTTTTAAGACATGCAAAAAAAATGCATTGGTAAAGTTGGTAATGTACAATTTAAACCTTTATTTTAGAAGCTTTTTTGTACTTTGGGAATTTGAGGATTCAGATTCTGTAGTGTTTTAGTTCCTCTTCATTACATTTGGCACCAGGATGGTATTCATTGCCATCTGTTGCTCTGTTCAGGCTTTAATTGTTTCTCTCCCTGTGACATACTAGCTGCTCCAGAATACCATGACACATGAGCCATTTCTTGCTGCTTGTGTGCTTAATTTATTGCCCTTAAAGCATTGCCATATGGTATTCCAGGTATTTGCTTGAAGTAAAGTTACAAAATATTTGTTTTTGTCCAACTATTTTTTGTATGTTTCTAAATGATTTTAAAGTAGTTTGATTTTTGTTTCACTATACAGTACATACTGAATGTGAGAGCATGTTTAAGGTGCTAACTCTGTATTTATTTAGAAACTGAATCACTATAGCAATGTAACCTCTGTTGATGTTAGAATGGATGTATTCTGTTTGTATCATTTGTAAACATTTTTCTTGGAAGAAAGTTCAAAAGTCACATGTTCATTTTCATGTTTCATCCATCAAACTTACTGGAAAGTGTTCCTTCTTTCATTGAGCCTTTTAGTGTGATTACAATTTGAAAACCTTTGTGCCTTTTATCACATTTGCATGTAAAGGCTCTGAAGCACAAATATCTGGCCCTAAAGGTGTACTCACACATTAATAAATACATACACGGAAGGTTATAAGGAGTACAAAAATGATACCGGTTCTAACATTTTTTACAGACATGTTACCCCGTCTCACAATATACACAAACCCATGAACTACAGTATTTAGCATTGTATATTTAATAATTAGGAATGTAACTGTGTTCTGTACTTTTTACATATTTTTATTATAAGAAAACAGGGACAAAATATACACTGAAAACCAAATAACAGACTTTTACTAAATATGACATTTTAAAAAACTTAGTTCTTGAGTTACTGGCCATAACTGAGGAGACTAGAATGGACCACAAGTTATTTCAGTCATTTTTAGGTGTCCTGGAGAATGACTGAATCTCCCATTAGTGTACAGAATTTCTCACAGACTTTTAGCCCCAGCTAAGCAACCAGTATACCAAGATCATTAGTAAGGCATATGCAGTTAAGTGATGCACATAAACTAAAAAAAAAAACCCGCTATACTACTGTATATATACTGATGGAGAAAAAAAAAATGCAACATTTTCTGGAATGAGAATACTATAGTTTATGTACTTTCACAAAAAGTTGTCAATTTGTTTTAAGCCCCAGGACCAGCAATACAGCTTGTGAAGTGAGGCATTGCAACTTGCCAATCACATGAAAGCTCATTAGGGCCAGATATTTGTGCTTCAGAGCCTTTACATGCACTTTTATAAACGAGGTCCAGGTGAAACAGTGCCTGATCAGGTCACCTTTAAAAAGGCCTTAATTCAAAGCTTATGCCACTGCAAGAAAAAGGCAATATTTTACAGTTTTCTGTGCATTCTATAATGCATCAAATGTCACCAGAAGCAAAGGAGAGGACCATTGGCATACTGCAGGCAGGCATGTCATGTGCCAGCGTTGCCAGACACTATGGAGTAAGCCACTCCACTGTAGAGAAGGTTTCAGCAGACCGGCAGGACAGATGACAGTCCAAGATCCGGTTGACCTCAAGTAACCACACCAGAGTAAGACTGACACATCAGACTGGTCCATCTGAGAGATCATTTCAGATCTGCCACCCGTACTGCTGATTAAATGATGCGGACATTGTTTCTGATGCTGGCAGACACAATGTCTGCATCAGTGACAGGACAGTGAGGCTCCATGCTGCTGGCCAATCAGAGGCCCTCTGCTCATACCTCCAAGATGTCACACCCGACTGTCTTGGGCCAGACAGAGGCTGTGATGGACTCATCAGCAGTGGCATCAGGTCCTCTTCACGGATGAGTCACTCTTCAGCCTGTTCTACATAGACAGGAGGGCCAGAGTGTAGAGGAGGAGGTGTTGCATTTCTTTTTTCCATCAGTATATATATACAGTATACAGTATGAAATGTGTGAATGAATAATCAAATAATAATAACCTAAGTTTCTTAATGCTAAAAAGCAGAATCATCAGAATATTTCTAATTTTCTTTGAGTATAATCAAAGTAGGAGTCATGGAGAGCTCTTTCAATTTTATTAGTTTCCACCACAAAAGAAATGGGTAAAAGCATTGAATATTGTTATAGGTTTCCCTCTCAATCTGCACGTTTGCCTGCTGAAGAATCAATATTGAATAACAGTTATAATTCAGAATCCATACTGAATACCAAAGGAAACCCACTCATACTTAGTTCTGTAAGCAAAAATTTTTAAAAACATCTTCTGCATCAGTGTGTGACTCTTGAGTTTTCTTGCTTCCCTAGCTCATCTGCCTCACACACAACTTGTCCTCAGCCAGCAGGGATTTCAGTTGTGTATTTTCACAGTAGCTTATGCAATGAATTCATTTTTTTACTTGCAATTATTTTATTATCAACCTTATGACCATTTGGGCGGAGCAGTGGCACTGTGGCTAAGGATCTGTGCCTGTGGCTGGAAGGCTGCCAGTTCAAATCCCGCGGCCGACAGAGGAATCCTACTCCGTTGAGCCCCTGAGCAAGGCCCTTAACCCCAGCTGCTCCAGCAGCACTGTACAATGGCTGAACCTGCGCTCTAACCCCAACCTTCTCTCTCCCTGTCTGTGTGCCTGTGTGTCTCATGGAGAACAAGCTTGGGTATGCGAAAAGACAAATATCTAATGCAAGAAATTGTATACAGTATGACTAATAAAGTGATCTTATCTTATGAATTGGAAATTTTTACGAAAGATAGCTATTGATGATTGTAACATAGACTGTAGGAACTTAACATTTCAATTCCCCATATAGTCAAGTACTGTATTTACCATCTGCAGAGGTTTTCAGGAATGTCATTATAGAAACCTGATCATGAATAAAACTACAGACATATACAGTATTACGTTCATGGATGAAGGTTTCAACACTAAGTGAAATATTAATCCAAGCTATACATGTATGTTTTCATTTCAGTTGAGGTACTGTATTTAATTTTTAATACATTTATAGAATGTATTTATTATATTGATTTTAATATACAATATGTAAATTAAAACAATTTTACTGGAGGTTTTATATTTTTTTATGGGCAATATGGCATAAAATGACTAGTATTTTTGTATATGTGCTGTTGAAGTGAGAGAGAGAATTATCTTAAGTCATTAACACCTTTTTTACTATTTAATTGTTTTGTTGTCAGTGTCCGACATTACCATGAAAGTGTGTTCCCAAATAAGAGCAATACCACTACATACATATTGCAACATTTTTCAGGCAACACCAAAAAACATTTTGGTCTAAAATCTAACAAGACATGCTTTGCAGGCTTAAAAAGGTGCTACAGATTTATTGTTAACCTTTATTGCTTTTCCTATGATTCTTTCATCAGAGTGTATACAGCTTAAAATTTGACAGAACCTATTAGTTCTAGGCCCTGAAGGAAGGTACTGTAGGTGACACCAGATAACTAGATCTAGTAAAATACAATCAACATCTAATCTGTTCTGTCAGGAGTAGCCAACAGACATTCTGCACATCAGCCCAGCTCTTTCTTTTTTATTCAAGCTCTTGCCTCTTACAATGTTTTGGAGCTTGAAACTGAGTCTTAATCGTAATATTACTGCAGGACCAAAGAAGTCCAGTAAAACGCATATTCATCACAAGGATTTCCACATAATGTTTTTATGTCTCCCACTACCATAATAAAACCATGCACTATATTCTTATGATTCTTTTTACACCCCCCCTCCCCCCAGTAAAATGAAGAAGCACATATAATTATTTACTATGGCACATTTCAGTTCATGTCATAAATTTCAAAGACATAATTATGAATCCCATTGGTATGACAGCTATGTTACAAACAACATGAAGAACCTGTCCTAGGAACCTGAAGTACACAAATGCTACATGAGTTACCATAAAGTCTTATCTCATATCATACAGTAATCTTGTATTTTATTTGACGTGCAGCACCTGTTTATTTGTTGTGACTGACAGAGGCCATTGCTTTGTAAAGAATACAAAATATCTGTTTTTTTGGTTTTGAGCTCTTTCAAAAGTGACATTTGACCATTGTCTTTAACATTAGGGAGCCGACTGCCGCCTGCCTGCTGTTTTTTTCATCCATTCCCATTTTTGTTGTTTGCTCCCTAGGTATTTCTTAAGAGTGACCGCGTTGCCAGGATGGTTCAAAATGGAGGGTGCTCTGCCAATGACTTCAGAGAAGTCTTTAAAAAAAATATCGAGAAACGGGTCCGCAGCCTTCCTGAAATTGATGGCCTCAGCAAAGAGACTGTGCTGAGCTCCTGGATTGCCAAGTTTGATGCCATTTACAGAGGGGAGGAGGACTTTCGCAAACAGCCGCCCAGAATGCACCTAAGTGCTGTGTCAGAACTGATCCTCAGCAAGGAACAGCTCTATGAAATGTTCCAGCAGATCCTGGGAATTAAGAAGTTTGAACATCAGCTGCTCTACAATGCTTGCCAGGTAGGTACCTCTTAAGTGTATAATAATCTAAAAGTGAAAAAATAGCTACAGAAATAAGACACTGTAAGTGGCCTTCATCATTTTCTTTTATCGAACATTCACAGACTTTGAATCTGTCTGCTACTTGATTTTAACAAAGGTTGTAGACCATTTATTATTGATATTTTAAATCCTTGTTTTCACAATTGTAAAATCTACCATTATTTATAGAACTTTCACCATCATGTTGTTTATTTCATGGAAAATGTATTTTAAGCAACTTTGATAAACATATATTTGAATGAATTTTCTTTAAAGTTCTAACAATATACACCACAACACTCTAATCTACCAAAGAGTTATTGAAAAATGAATCGATGTGTAATATGTACAGTGTTGCGCATCTGTGAATTTACCTTATATTTTGGTTAAATTAAGGAAACTTGCTGAACCGATGCATGTGTATTGAAACAGTTAAAGTCTGGGTTGTCCTGTAGTGTTACACGATTCTTTATCATCACTGGTCTATGTCTTACAGTAATGATAGTGTTAAGGCAGCAAGATACATGTGGCAGCATAGCATACTCAGTTTATAGTAGCAGGCTGAGCTTGTCTGTCTAGATTTGTACCATCAATGTGTGCTTAGACTTTTTCTGTGTGCCTGCAATTGACAGTCTCACTGGTTTCAGTTCAGTCTGTGTCCAGGAGGAGACAATTCAGAGCACTCACTGGCGATTTGGAGGCATGCTGTGTTTGTGAACTGCAGGTTTTTCTCTCTCAGGTTTGAGGACAGGTTCCTTTTAGCTCTTCTGTCCTGGGTGAGGGTTATACTGCATCTTTTTACTGAATCATGCCTCACCTGGGCCTACTGGTAGACAGCCTTTCCAGCTTTCTCAGTTTTTTATCTGCACCTCCATTTAGCATTTATTTCTTTGAGCTTCTTCTCAAAATGTTTAATGGAAAATGCAAATATTGATGTTTCTGGGGGAATATCCTGTCATGTATCTTGACTGTTTTATCCATTTCCATTCTGTGTTGTCACATAAATGACATAAATGACACATTGGCTGTGAATTGCATGTAGTTAAAATTGTGAGATTCACAAGATGTAATTCAAGGATGTAGATTGAGTATGAACAGCTTTTTCATGATTTTTTCTAAATAGAAATGCTGAATAGTTCTATAAATAATGGTAGATTTTACAATTGTGAAAACAAGCATTTAAAATATCAATAATAAATGGTCTACAACCTTTGTTAAAATCAAGTAGCAGACAGATTCAAAGTCTGTGAATGTTCGATAAAAGAAAATGATGAAGGCCACTTACACTGTCTTATTTCTTATATATACACTGTAGCTATTTTTTCACTTTGAGAACACATCCAGATTTGAAGCCTGCTACATTAATAATTGCTGGTTTAAAGGAAGATAACTTGTTACCTATGGTATTATTACATCCGTTAATTTTCTATCCGCTTTCTCCAATACAAGGTCATTATGGAGCCAGTTCCTCTCCCAAAAAGCACAGTGTACAAGGCAGGATACACCTGGACTGGACTCTAGTCCATCACAAGGCACACAAATACAATCCCAACTTTCCTAAAAACCAATTAACTTATCAGTACCAGTGTGTCTTTAACCGTGGGAGGAAACCAGAGCTCCCTGTAGAAATCCATGCGAAAATGGGAGAACATACATATAGAGAGCGTCACAGGAATTGAATCCAGGGACCCAGTGCTGTGAAGCAGCAATTCTGAGTACTGTGCCACCTTGCCTCTCTGCTGCCCTGTAATTATTACAATTTCCCCCTTTTTCTAAGCAAAATTCTACTCTATTCTGTTGTACTCTGTCTTGATAATGAACAAAACAGGACTGTAAGTTGGATGAAACTCTACAATCTACCGGGGGAAAAAAATTAAAAGGAAGTTTCACTTTATTTTACAAAGCTAAAAATGTGAAAACTGCGATTCATTTTTCATTAAAATTTCTTTAGGGAAGTCTGTTCTAAGGTTTGCTCTTTTTGTAAGTGTGGTGAGAGGATTAACCTAAAGTAGTAAGGAAGAATTTTGATTTGTAGATAGCAAAGCTATTCAAGAAAATACATTTGGAGTGTTTTATAAAACTCTCATTAAATGTGGGCAGAAAGGACATAGAGCTGACGTATGTGTAATTAGTATGAGGAAGAACATTAACTGCAAGGGAATCCTAAAATAAGAGCAAGTCACAGAGTAGCCCAGACAAGGAATTGAGTAGCCGGGGTTCTTAGTTCAGAGGGAAGAAAGAGAATCTCATGAGGTGGGTGGAGATCAATGCAATCTGTCCTGACAAAGGATATCTGTTCAGCAGTCTGAGATGGCTCCAGTACTGGAGAATGTAATGGACGAGGAGTTTCTTTAGGTGTGAAAAATGCAAGGTGAGCCTGATGTGTTGATGGAGACTCGGGATGTTATTGAGGCAGGGGACATGACCCTTCATCAGAGTGAAGAGAAACAGGTGGCTTTTTCATGGGAAGAGACTGAAAGAAGGGGGTGTGAAACAGAAGAAAGCGGAAGAGTTTAATCTGCTGAGTAGGAAAAGAAAAAAATATTATGATGTTGTATACCACATTACCTTGTTGTAAACAAGTTACTTTTTCAGGGCATCTTACAATCAGTGAAAGTTCTCATTTAGGAGAAGGTGGCACAAAACTTGGTGAAACTGATTCTTTTTTGTATGCATTGACTGTCAGTAAGCAGATGAGAGAAAGACACAGCTGGACACTAAAGGAATACTGATTTCTGTACAATATCAAAACCTCTCAGAGACAGATGCTCCAACAGTGTTACTACCTCTAATAAATTACTCTTTGCTCTTTAAAAAAGACAGCGCAGCGTAAACTGGTGTACTGTCTGCAGACAGCAGCAGGCCAAATGGTGTATAAGCCTGGTGAAGTTCAGAATATGGCAATGGATTTCTACTTTGACTTGTTCATCCACAGTCATCACTGTGAGTGAGGGGAGCCACGATGGCTCCATGAGGATCTTCCCCAAGTTCCTGATGAGGAAGAAATGGCTTTAGGAACAGATGAAATATCTTAGGCAGCCATTGGATGGAAAGTTGAAAAAGCCCCAGGCATTGATGTGTGACTGTTGAATTTTATAAAACCATGTGGGCTTGGTTTGGAGGACATCTTCTGGCAGTCATCAGGGAGTGCCTAAGGGACAGTAAACTGCTTCCAAGTTGCTGTTGTGCAGTGTTGGCTTTGTTGCCAAGAAAGGAGATTTGTGTAACATCAAAAATTGGCATCCTGTTAGCCTTCTCTGTTCAGATTATAAGATTCTGTCCAAAGCTTTGGCAAATAAATTGAGATCTGTGATGAGTTTAATTGTGCAGACACAGCAAATATACTGTGCGCACTGTGCTTATATTTTAGCAGTATCCAAACTCTTCAGTTTTGATGAGTTGATATCAATTGATGAAGAAGAGGTTTTTGATTGAGTATATCACACCGTTTTTAATGTCTGTAAGATAAGATAAGATGAAAATAGTGGGGGTGGTGCGGTGGCTCTGTGGCTAAGGATCTGCACCCATGGCTGGAAAGGTGCCGGTACAAATCCCACGGCCAGCAGAGGAATCCTACTCCATTGGGCTCCTGAGCAAGGCCCTTAACCCCAGCTGCTCCAGGGACGCTGTATCTGATCCTAAGCTTCTCTCCGTCTGTGTGTCTGGGTGTCTCATGGAGAGCAAGCTGGGGTATGCGAAAAGACGAATTCCTAATGCAATTGTACAGGGCTAATAAAGTGATCTTATCTTATATTAAGTATAAGATCTGTTAGGTTCATAAGTAGATTTCTTATGCAGATATGGGCTGCCTTGTCAGGAGAAAGGTTGCTTATATTATGAGGTTTTTTCACAGGGGCTATTAGTTCTGAGTCAGAACTCCCAGGTGAAACCAACCATCACACAGGATGGTGACACTCCTGGCAACCCCTTGCAATTTGGAAATATTAATTTTTTACAATTCAATTGTATGGGGAAAAAAGGATCTCCACAGACTTTGTATAAGGATTAAATATTAGGATAAGGATTTGCTTGACACCCACTGGTGAGAACATCTAGGTACTGAGTTCTCTGTAGCTCCAGCCTGGAAAAATCTCAGTAGGCCACCACTACAGAAATCAATCTGTATTTTTTCTCTTTTTGAAAATATATATCTGATTATGTAATTTAATGTATTGCTGAATGTGAAAAATGAGTTTGCATTTTCTCTTTTCTAAATGTGTAACTAACTGTGATATAATGTATTACTAAATTTAATTATTGTGGAATGCATTGATGTTGTTAGATATGTTAGAAGAACATTTTTTCAAATTTATGAAGGGTTTTAGAAGCATGCAGTCTCTAAAAATTACAGGAGTGAATATTAAAAAAAATGTTCATTACAACATTGCAAAATTTGAATGCTGATCCAGCCTGTTTTTTTTTCCTTTAAGGAAAAAGTTTAGTAACATGTCTGAGGGAGATGATAAAATTGTTATTTCGGAAAATGAGATGATAAATGTATACTGTACAGCATAATTTTTAAGGCTCGTTCTTTCTTCTGTTCTTAATAACTTACATGTTTAGAAAGAAGTGTAAAGTCTGCCAAACCATTTAGATCCATATGCTGTTTGATATATTGTGCCTTAATTAGAATTGCTAACCCCTGATGCAAAGGTAAAAACATATCCATTTGGTGTTTCCATTTGATTGCACAATTCCTGTTACTACTGAAAGAGCTTCATCTGCCACCAGTCACTTTAGTGCCAAAACAGTCTCTTAATGAAAGAGCTAAATAAACACAAGAGTGCAACTGCATGGTTTACCTTCTTCCATCCATCCATTTTCTAACCGCTTTATCTAATATACTGTAGGATCGCGGGGGAACAGAAACCTATCCCAGCAAACAACAGGTGGGGCAGAACACACACAAAAATACCCACACTCTCACACCAGGGCCAATTTTGACAGAAGTCAATTAACCTACCAGTACAGTATGTCTT